TATTACAAAACATTTTCAGATTCAAATTCCTTTTAACCTAAGCCTAAAAATCTCAAAATCAACGATTTTTCAAATATTATTTAACAATTTTGACTTTTTTTCTATATTAACACGCTCTTGGATTTTTCAAGAAATTTTTTTCAGACGTTTTTTCCGCTGAAAACTCACTGAACTCTTGCGCTGTTTCATTCTTTAGTACAGTATGATAACCACTTTATAATTTCCATTTGAATAAATTTGTCTTTATAATTCATAAAACCCATTTATGAATCATCCAATTTAGACTGAATTTTATATGCCCGATTAAAATAGATTGCAAAACATACAAGCAAAATGTAATTTCGAGTTAAACCAAATATGGCAAAATGGCATTTGCAATCATTATCATCTCATTAAATTCCTACCAACAACGGCCTAAGAATCCCAAATTCAACGATTCTTTAAAGATTATTTAAATTTTTGTATTTTTCTCTATATTAACACGATCTTGAATTTTTCATATCATTTTTTACAAGCATTTTTCGGCCGAAAGCTCATTGAATTCTTGCAGTGTTGCATAATTTAGTACAGTATGGTAAAATTGTAAAAATAGTACAGTATGGTAATCATTTTATCAACAGTCCAAGTTAGTTTTTGAATGGCTTTTGGGTTTGCACAAACGTGGTGCAACAAACCTCTGAAGATGCTAACTATGCGTGCTAGCGAAACGTCAGGATCAAAACGTAAATATCAAGAAGTTCTCTTTAAAGTGATAATAAAAAACCAAATTTTCGACATTGAATATATCTTAATACTAAAAACCCAACACTTGAAGAAAAAGCCATAATTTTTAAATATCACAAACTCAACTTACTCTGGACAAATTCAGGAAGAAAACGCTCGAAAATCCCCGACTTACTAACTCAATATTTAAAAAAGACTCACAATGCGRCATACATATAGGTCAAGTAGTTGCAGTTTGTTTCTGCTTAATTTTCCATCTGGGGAAATGGAAAAGTGCGCTCAATTCCCAAGAAATCACATTGTTGAATGTTAACTCTCTATCGATTCCAGTGTGCAAGTTTTCTTAAACTTGAAGTTTACACTTATCGGTCAATTTATCTTTTTAGCGCTGCTTAACAATAAGAAATTATTTGCATTCATGAGCACGCAAAACTTTTACTTATTCCGAGAAAAAATCGGTTGCTTAATGACTAAATATAGATTTTATATGGCTATGAATGCCAGTATTATGTTATGTTGTTTTTTTTAGATGATCCTTTTACAACTACAAAATCTATAGCAAAATGGGGGAAAACGTTAGAGTAATCGTACGATGTCGGCCAGCCAACAAAAGAGAAACAGACGCCAATTGCAAGGTTTAATTTCCCAAAAAAATATTTTCTTTGTTTTACTGAACGAAAAATTCAACTTTCAGTGCGTAGTCAAAATACAAAATCCCATAGTAGAAATATGGGACCCAGGAGAAGGCCCAGCGTTCCCAAAAACATTCACTTTCGACTCGACTTACGATCAAAACTCCAATACTGAAGTGATTTATAACGACATTTGCTACCCACTAGTTGAGGTAAGATTTTTTTTATTGATAGAAACACCGTTAAGTACACTAAAAAAAACATTTTCAGAGTGTCTTGGAAGGTTACAATGCCACAATTTTCGTCTATGGACAAACAGGGTGCGGAAAATCCTTCACAATGGAAGGAATTAAGGGCTCGGATGGCAGCCAAAAAGGAGTGATTTCCAGGGCTTTCGAACATGCATTTGAAGCCATTGCAGTTACCAGTGGAGTGAAATATCTAGCTTTAATTAGCTATTTGGAAATTTACAATGAACAAATTAGGTGCGATTTTTTCACGCCGAAATTGTTCCCTTTTGCAAAAGAAATAATAATAATATCGACTTTAAATAAGAAACTATTTAAAATAGAAACCCAATAATTGTAGTACTAGATGACCATTTTTAAATAATTTTTAATAAACGCTTCATATTTCAGAGATTTATTAGTGCCAAATGATAAAATGGCTAGCAGCAATGCGCTTAGTCTTAAAGAAACACCTACCGAAGGAGTGACAGTGCCAGGCAAATACCAGAAGCTAAACATCGGGAAATTTTAATAAATTAACAAAACTTCCAGGCTTAACTCTTCACCCAGTACACAACGCTCAAGAGGCCGAACACTACTTGAATATGGGCTCGAAAAATCGAATGATTGGAGCGACGCTCATGAACCAAAACAGCTCAAGAAGTCACAGCATTTTTACCATTAGCATAGAACAACTAAGTAACGTGAACAACAATCAGAGCATAAGAAAAGGTGAAAAAACTAGACGAATCATTGAAAATGCCCACAGCAATTGCTTTCAGGGAAACTAAATCTGGTCGATTTGGCTGGATCAGAACGACAAACGAAAACAGGAGCTACAGGCGACCGACTGAAAGAAGCCACCAAAATTAATTTGTCTCTGAGCGCCCTTGGCAATGTTATTTCCGCTTTAGTTGATGGAAAAGCAAAACATATTCCTTACAGGGACTCGAAACTAACGCGACTATTGCAGGTAAAACGGACCAGGAGCGGTGATTTTTAAAATAATCGTGATATATTTAAGGATTCATTGGGTGGCAACACCAAAACCCTAATGATAGCATGCATCAGCGCAGCAGATCGAGACTACATGGAAACTTTGTCCACTCTTCGTTACGCAAACCGCGCTAAAAACATCAGCAACAAACCCAAAGTCAACGAGGTGCGAACGGCAATTATCTGCCCAAAAGCTACTAATAAAAACCAACTTTCAGGACCCCAAAGACACAATTTTGCGCCAGTATCAAGAAGAAATCGAAAGGCTAAAGCTGCTGCTAACAACTCAACAAGAGCCGGATGGTTTGCGAGTTGTGGACTTAACTGACTGCGTAGAACTAGGGGATGGAATGGGGAAGAAGCCGTCCTCCCGTGTAATGGAACTAGACGCCAAACGGGACAAACTGCTAAGTGAATATCAGATGGAGATGGAAAAATTACGGAACTTGCACGAAAGGTTTACACACTAACTTCCCCATTTTTACTCAAAAAACTAACATTGTTTGGAAACGGCAGCGAAAAACACGAAAAGGAAAGCGTCCTACGACAAATTCAAACCATCAAAACCGAGTATGAGGACAATATTAGGCGACTAAATGACGAAATAAAGGATAACAAGAAGAAGGAAGTGAGCTCAAACGATGAGGTAATGAAGCGCATAGAGACACTGAAAAAAGCTCTAATTGGAGGCGAGAAAGCCAACGACAAAGAACTCTCGGAGCGGCGACTAAAGAAAAAAATCGCTGCAGAAAAACGAGCCAAGTAATTAATCCAACTTTCGCAACTCGGATATTTTAAGGGGTGAATTTTTAATGTTCATTTTAGTTTGATTGCCCATTTGCTGGCCAAAATCGACATGGACGAGGACAGGGAACTTCTGCAGAACCAATACAAGGACATCAGTCACGAATTGGAGCTGAAATCAGACATTCTGCGAAAATACAGATACAAAGTGAAAATGCTTGAAAAAGAGATCGAAGACATCCAGAGCGAGTTCCAAAGAGAGCGAGATGACTACTTGGAAACCATACGAAAGCAGGAGAAGAAAACGAAACTCTTGTTGCAAATCAATGAAAAGCTCACCGGAACTTTGAAAAAGGACTGCAATTATAGGTAAGGGACAAAATTTTGAATTCCCCAAGGAAAAGGGAAACTCTTGTGATTTCAGCGACTTAGATTCGATCAAGGAACAAGCAATTTGGCTTGAGGATAGTCAGAGGTATAAACTACCAGACCTAGTGACTCCTAGAACAAAACTTCCTCCAGCTGGTAAGTTTCTATTTAAAAAAATGCATCTCAAGCTCTTCCCAACGCCAAAAGAAAAATTAAAATTCAGATAATATTTAGGGCGTTTTACGGACATTCAAACAGCCCCAGCAAGGCTAAACAGCGAAATCTCGCTCAGCAGGCAAAACTCAGTCGAGCAGGTGAAAAATGCAAATCCGTTTATTGGCTTGCTACCGCATTTTTCACACGTGTTTTTTATATTGATATCGACCTTTACTTGATTTTTTTTAATTTCCGCTAATGCATTTTCGATATTTCTTGTTGCACGCTGCTTTATTGCACAGGACAGAACCATGATCGAAAATATTCCAGTGCCAACTATACTTTAGAGGTAAAATAAATCTCCTAGAAAAAACACTCGATTTGTAGCGCTAGAACACATCTAGTAGCAGGGGCGGATACAGCTTTAAATTCAGGGGGGGGGATATGTAGAAAAAATACAGTCTTCTGTTGTCTATGAAATTAGAAAAATTATCGTCGTTTTGTGCAAGGGTGATTTAGGCAAGGGTGGTAAAATTATTGCAAAATTTCATGTTTTCCGTCCCGTTTTGCATGATTCTCGGAAGCAAAATAAGCAAGAACGCTCGTTTTTACATCATTGCAAAGAGAACTAAATGGTCTTTTTAGAAAGTGAACTATCGATGAGGAAATGTTGCAGTTTCTCAAAAAATGATTGAATTCAAGAAGTTTTAGATTTGCGTGGTTTTTTTTGAGTTGCAAAATCCACTTGAACATGACGCTGCTTTTTTCGAA